ACCTTAACACAAAGCATCATATGTGAGAAGGCAAGAGCGATTTACTGTGATTTGTTGAAACAGGTCCGACACACTTCCATAAACGAGGAATCGGAAGACTCGTTTAAAGCCAGTCAGGGCTGGTTGGACAACTTTAGAAAATGGACCTGCATTTCACTCGGTCGTCAGGCATGGTGAGGCAGCAAGTTCGGAAGGCAGCTGAGGTTTACATCAAAATGTTTTCCGAACTAATAGAAGCCAAAGGATACAATCCCCAGCAAGTCTTCAAATATGACGAGACAGGCTTTTCTGGAAAAGGATGCCGAATAGGACTTAAATAACGACAGAGGAGAAGACGATACCAGGTCACAAACCCATGAAAGATAGATTAACTTTTTGGGCCAATGCGAGTGGCGACTGCAAAATCAAACCTCTGCTAGTACACCATTCGGAAAATCCAGAGCCTTTAAGTCACATAAGGTTTCAAACGATTGGTTTGTTTTGGTTTATTACGGCAAAGCTCACTAGGGCTATCTGCCTAAGGGGAGGGATGCTTTCGTGGAGCTCTTTCTCAGTGAAACTGGCTCGTATACACGTTACACATTGGGAAAACCACGAAAATGCCCATGCAGCCAGCCCGTTCGCGGGATTCGAACCTCGGACCGAACTACCAGTGTTTAGCGACTTAACCGCTCGGCCGCTGGTGGGCCTTGATTCTAAACGAAAAACTTCCAGTTATGTGGAGGGCAAATCTGAAGGCGTGGGTCACCAGGAAATTCTTTGTAGAGTGGATGAACTTGGTGTTTAGCCTTCTGTTAAAATTATCTACAGGAAAACAACCTACCCATGCATGCCCTTCTCGTCCTCGACAATGTCCCTGCTCACCCACCAAATCTTGAAGACGATTTACTCGAAGAGTTCAAGTTTATAAATGTTCTCTACCTACCACCCAACACCACTCCTATCCTGCAGCGCATGGATCAGCAGGGGATTTCTAATTTTAAGAAGTTAAACACCAAGTATATTTTTCGGCGCTGCTTTTGAGGTGACGAAGAACACAAACCTTACCCTTCGAGAATTCTGGAAGGACCACTTTAACGTCGTGATATGCCTAAGAATTATTGATCAGGCCTGGCTGGGTGTTACAACGAGGACATTAACCTCTGCATGGAAGAAGCTGTAACCTGAGGCTGTCGCTGAAAGGGCCTTCGAAGGCTTGGAATCCGAAGTATCAGTGGTAGAGGAGATTGCTTCTGTGGGAAAATCCACGGGTCTCTAAGTGGATCAGAGAGATGTGAACGAACTCGTCGAGGAACAGTCTCAGAAACGGATAACCGAGGAGTTACACCATCTACATTCGCAGCCACATACGGTGGTTAAACGAAAAATTAGTTTTGAAGAGGAGTCAGAGATGGAGGAGGTTATCCTTACAAGAGATATAAAGGAGTTCTTGGGAATGTGGGAGAAAGTTGTAGAGTTCGTGGCTAAAAATCACCCCGAAAAAGTTGCAACTGGTCGTGCATCGGAATTGTTCATCGAAACTTGCCTAACTCATTTCCGCAATATCTTGAAACGGAGGATGAAATAAATCCCCTTGGACAGTTTTTTAAAACGATCTGCAGGTGAAAATGAGCAAATCGTGTCGAAAAAAGCGAAGACCAGTGACGAAAATCAAGCGCCTCCGTAAGCAGGCATTTCAATTAAAGGCATTTCAATTAATTTCAATGGGGAAAATTGCTTTGAGATACGAGCAATTAGACATACGAGTAATGTTACGAAACGAATTAAACTAGTATGTCGATGTACCACTGCATACTCTCCATTTTAAAGGGCGACTGGGGTTTTAGTGGACCCAGTCGCCAAATCCTGGTTGTGGAAAATCATCAGCCCTCACTCTTTTAGTTCAACTGCCACTGTAGAGTCTTTAGGTATTTTTTCGGAAGTAGGAGAAAAGAAAAATGAGCAACGCCTTCGCCGGGAATCAAACCACGGACCTCTGGATACGCACCCAGCGTGCAGACCACAACACCACGAAGACACGCTAAGAAGGCGGGAGAAATACGTTACAGTCTATTATATGTTTTATGTCGCTTAGAGATTTGTGATGCAACCAACGAAGGAATATATGTAGGAAAATAAGCAATTTTGAGGATAGTTAAAGAAAAACGTGTGTTTATGCGAGTTAAAGATAAAGAACGTAAAATTTTGCATCATTTTTGCATCTAGAATCAACGATATTACTGATGACTGTGTTACTAAAGGTATAAGTTTTAGAAAGAATTTAAAATTTTCAAAAAAAGTCTGTTCAGAGTTATACCAATGTCTGTATAAATAATTTTTTCCAGTGTGCAAATGTTTATAGTTCTACATGAAGATTATTTCAATAAAGATAATTTTCAGTTGCCTCCCAAATTTATCACTTTGAGCTGAATTACATACAAAACGGACTTCCTAAATTAAAAGAATTTAGAAGATATTTAAGAATAAACTGAAATTATTAATAACATTTGATATTTAGAAAAATAACGGTTTCCAAAATGAGAAATCATACTTTGTTTTCTGTGCCTCAGAGATAGAGAAATGTTTTTAAATCTTTACAAACGGGGTGCAGAAATGCGATTTCTTCTGTAGCTACAAGTAATGGGATGTTGCAATCCGTCTGGTTTACGCAATTTTGCGAAAAATCTGAAGACTATAAGTTTAATTTTAGGACTAAGAACGCTTGAGAAGTGATCACGATGTTTTATTTTGCTAATGGTACTGAAATATAAATTCTTATATTTTCATTTTCTCTTTCATATTCCAATATTATACTATTTGTAACGCATCTTTGTCTGTACATGGAGAACCTAACGTAAATTCTTTGTCATCTTTCTACACACTCATAAAATGTCTGAATCAATTTGGAAATAATAGACAGATATTGACGGTGTCGATAAGAGAGGAAAAAGAGTAACTCGGTAAAATAAATCAGCAGTCATCTTCACAATATACCTTTTGTATTTAACAAAATCAAGTTGCAAGACTTCGTCTACACATGAGTAAAGAGTCACACTTCTCACTGAGATACCGGTACGGCTACAGTTGCAGACATACAGTTTCTTTACAATTAACGTTATTGCTTCAGGTGTATGAAATAATGCAATCAAATAAACAATCAGAAAGTAAAAAAAGAGTTTAAATGTCTTACAGTGAAAGCTCTGTAAATATATAAGAAGATGTGATATTTATGACGTAAATAAAAGGTGCGAAAGCGTTTGAAGTAGTAGTAGGAATACTCTATATACGAATAATATAGTATTGGGATACCTGGGAGATATTATGTAACGAAACAGAAATGTTTGCAGAAGAGTAACTGAAAGTATTCCTACTAACAGAGGTATACAGATTTAGAGGAATGAAATTCAAACATCTGCAGCTGGAAAGTAATGCTAAATTAATACTTTGGAGAATATATCTTCGAGGCCAATATGAAATTTATTTAAATTTCTTTATGGAATGGATAGCTACAAATCTTTCGCAATCATTAATATTATTTTTAACTATTCTTTCATTAAAATTCATGACTTCATGATTGTGGATAGATCACTGACTTCCTGATAGTAAAAAAGAAAAGTTTCCTGCAGCTCTGTCCGCGAGCATACTTCATATGGGCTTAATAGTATCGAAATCAGGGGACTGTGAAAGATGCGGAAGATTTCTAGCAAACCTATGAATATTTTTCGAATCGCTATGTCACCAGTTTTACTATGTTGTTTTGAGATGATGCATTATCGTCTTGATACACAACACACTTTTTTTTAATACAAAACAATTAGGAGAACTTTCTATACGGTTTATCCTTGACAAATGTTGCGATCGTCAAGAAGCAGTATTTTCAGAGCGCGCGCAAGTCTAATGCTCGCAAAAATGCACTATGTATTTATATTATGTAATTGTATCACATTTTTGGATTTATATTTTATATTTGCTTTGTGTATTAGCAAGTATGCATGTATTATGAACGACGGATAAGGGCTTCGGATCCCTAAAAAACACAGTGCAATTAATATTTTCAAGGACCTTAAACTGCTGAGTTGGTAACCAACTCTGTATGGATTATGTAATACTCTGAGCCAACTCAGCGAATATCAGTAATTCCAGAGACTGCCACGATACTGCAGCACGAACCATCATTATTTCAACTTCATTGCACGAATCAGTGACGATTATATCTATTTGAAGGACTCTTTGCAATTAATCTCTTTAAGAAGTGCAAATAAAAATGAATCTGTATTCATTACTAAACAATACACATATTGCAGTGTATACTGACCACATTTTGCACTTCTAATAGTATGAATCATGTTTTTAGCATGAGTACTTGCAATCATTGACGTCATTTTAGCTACCCAGTTTCTCGATTATCAACTCTGTAAAGCTCCCGATGGCCGTTTTCTTACAGAAGTGAGAGTTCAGGAGCTTGATAAGTGCTGCCATATTCTGGGTAATTATTGTTATTTGTTATTTTGGTTAGAAATCCATTAATAATCTCGCATTCTTTTAGTTTTGGAAATTATTCCAACTGGAAGAAGTTCTTAGCTTCTCTAGCCATACATACAGAAGTACACTAAGTATGGATTAAAAAAGATCGACTGTCTGGGAAACAGATCCGTCACTGAGGCATACCCGAAGTTTTCGAGTTTTGAGCTCAAATTTATCTACCGTTTATTATGTCCATTATTTGAGTGTTTTAAGTGAGTACCTGTAATACTGCTAAAATTTAAAATGATTGGCTTAACATTTTTGAATGCTATATTCTTTAACTGAGTTCTATTTTATATTCAATATATTGCATAGAAATAGGTGTATACAATCATATACATCTCATTGTGCAGGTTTAGTGAAGAATCAGTTAAATATTAAGCAGGTTACATCAACACTTTTCAAGAGTGTTAAAACAGTATTTTATTTTTATTAACCCTGAATTTATGAAAATTCCTTCGATCTTATGAGAGAAGTATATTACTATCTTCTTCCAGATATTTAAAGAAATCCAAAGATGATTTTCTAAAAACACCATACTGATTTTAAAAGAACAAGAGAATTTAGGACGTGTTTGCTATATGTATGAACAGATACTAGAAGACCGAGTGATAATTCAAACTTTCAGTAGCACTGCAAAGGAGGACAAACTTGAGTCTTCAACTTCGAGGCGTGCAAACGTGTTAAATGTGGTAAGTGTTTGCCACTTAATCTACCAATTAGAAAATTCTCTTCTTTCCTATTCTAAACAAAATTTTTGTTCGCATCAACACACATTTCTGTAAAAATGCCGTAAATTCTATAACCCCTTCTAAGTCCGTTTAGTTTGATGCATGTAATTTCGATTCGCAAAAGTGTAAAGACATTATACATATATTATTTTACATGATATAAACTGTACATTTATCATGTAGTTTTCATCGTTTGCTATAAGTAAGTGTATTCGTCAGGTTCATGTGCTATCTTGAAAATTTTCAGGCGATATTTTTGGAAACTGTGATTGTTTGAAATATCATGTGGTTGATGGCTTCTGAATAAATAAATAATAAGAGCAATAAATTGAATCGATATTGTAGTTTCAGCGCATTTTGGAACTATTTCATATTTTATGAACTAAATATTTCGTTAGTGTAATCTCATAAGAGATTAATAATAACACACTGTCCAATTTTTATCAAGTGTTTTATCAAGTTCATTGCATTAATTAAATAAGACAATAAGGTAACACGTATAAAGAACTATGAAATAAAATTCAGTTTACTGACATGAAAAAAAAAAAAAAAAAACTGCCGTCCTTAATGACCTAAACCTAGTAATATCAAATCAACGTAAACCTGACGTATTATCAGATAAACAAGTTGAAGAAATTAGTAGAAGAAATAAAATGCTTTTAGTTACAGACGGAGCTAGCAAGAAAGAGAGTGAAGTACGATCGTACTTACCCGAGTACTTTTATGATGCTATAAAACGAAGCATAAAAAGATAAAACTAAGCGCTTCAGAGATTAACTCCTGTTAATCTTGAAATTTAATACTAAAGCCCCTTTAACGGCTTATGGAGCGAAAACAGGTAATTTTATTATGTCACTGATCTGTATTAATTGAAACATAAAAAGATTGAAATCAGGATTAACCTGTAAACTAACACCCTGAGCAAAGCTCTAAGATTTTGAAGAGCTATAGGAAAAGTTTCGGTGTTGCCATTTAACGAGACACGTGTAAGATAATATTTTTTCTTTCCGTCAAAGTGTTGGAGGGATTTTCAGCATTAGATTTATAGAAAGTTAGGGGGCATGGATAAATTTAGTTTTCAAGTAAATAAGCAGAGACGGTAGTAATTTATACGTGAGAGTACGTATCAATGTAACAGAATTATAATTTCTCGTTTTACCTTATTTAATAAATGCAAATAAATAGGTCTGGTTTTGCTGATTACTACGGATAAATGGCGTATTCTCTAACTACATGTTTTATCAAAATACAAGTCATAATATGATTAAATATTTGTAATTATTGCAATTCTTTTAAACTGCAATTTTAAAACCATTTTCAGCTATGCAATGCTTAATTTCAAAATATATGTGATCGAAGGTGTAAATTTTATTGCCGAATTTAAATTTCAAATAGCACTTAAAATCATTCTAAAAATTAAATTACTGAACATATTAAACTCATATGAGTTTCTAATAATGTTAGTTGTAGAAACCCGTTTTTTAATTAAGGGCTTCAGATAAGTTGTACGATCTTAGGAAGATAAGCGTTCTTCGTTTTCAATGATTTTTATAGCTATCAGATAACAGTCTTTTAGTATTATATGTGTATAAATACGTATAAGTGTTCCAAAATATTAAAATATTAATCATTTTTATTTTTATATTATTGTATATATATAATTATATATATATATATATATATCAAGCAAGGTAGTTACAGAATGACCAATTTGGTCTAGAAATTTATATATATATATATATATATATAGCGTTTCAGCTGCTCCTTGGAAAAAACAAACAATTGTCAGCTTTTCTTTTATATTATTATTTTTTATTATGCTTTTTTAGTTTTAGTTTCGATTTATATACTTAAATGTTCTACCACTTTAGTTATTGTCTCTTGATCATATCAAATGCATATGTGCGTGCAAGAGAGGAAAAATGCATGTGAACTTTTGTTCACAGCAGATAACTGCCTATTCCAAAAAAGTGCGTAAAGCATAGTAACGAAAGGAAAGCATTATAACGCACAACCCTGTTCATTATTACTGGATGAGAATGAAAATAACTAAAGGCAACTAATACAACTCGTAACACAAAAAACAAATTTATAAATCTTATCATTTTAATCAGGAACCGATAGCATTGTCAGCAAAGCCGCGTTTCTAATCCCATAGCTTAAATATCAAATTTAAAAAAATTAATTACATTTCAAGAAATTTTACGAACTGAACCATTTTATTATTTAAAAATAAAGCTATCTTCAAGATACAGAACTGTTCTCATATGTCGTAAGTGTGTAAAGATGTAAGATTATTGTTTCTTAGCCACAATTTATTTGAACACTTTGAGAGAACTCCAATAAGAATTTTAACTCACGTAACACTACTTTTAAGTCCCCCAGACATCTCAATCCAGCTATACAGTATTTTGCTGCCACAAGAAATGCCTGCCCACATCCTAATTTTAATATCCAAAGAATAAGCAACTTTTTATTTTCTAATAGCAATTTACAAAACATTAGATATTCTTTAAACTGTTATAATTTACTTGCCGCCAATACGGGGAAGTGCTTAGTATCTCTGACTATCGTACAGAAGGGCCCAGGTTTGAATCCAGGAGAAGGCATGGATGTAATTTGTCCGGCCCCTCATAGAAAGCAATGGTGGCCTCCATAATAAAATGACCACCGCTTCCGTTCTTAGTAATAGCCTGAAAATGACTAGAGCACGCCATTGACCAAAATAAATAAAAATTAAAATTAAAAAGTAACAGTTTGTAGTGCAATAAGCTTCATATTAAAATTTCCTTAACTTGTCAAGAAGAAAAATGTATTTATTGATCATTAAAAATCATCTTCTGTTGTGGAACGTATAAAGATGTGATGAGTCAAAACAATTCGTAAATACATATTTGAATTCAAATTGGAAACAATAAAGCACACAATTGTTAAATATAATTAACATAAAAAAGGCATATTTCTGTGTGACTAAAGCTTGGCTAAATAAAAATGTAGCCTGTTTCACAGACGAAAATTAGTTATTATCTGAATGTTCGAAAGCAAAATAGCATGAAATGAATAAATATCCGTCGAAAAGGAGTCTAGTAAAAATGTATGTTTACCAAACAAGTTGACAAGAAATGGCAGTATTCAGGTTAAATGTTCTTAATTTGATGCTGTTAATTACATTACTCTTGATACTTGAATTGAGATCAATAATATACTAAGTAAGTAATACCAAATTGAAATTGCTGAGAATAGTCATACAAAAAAAGTTAAGAGGCACAAAACGAAATAAGGAAAAACTCAGAACTCTCATAATTTTACTTTCATTTTCAGGTTTTTTTTAAATTAAAAGCATGAGTATTAGAAAAATATATGTAGGGATAGATTAATATTTTTTTGAATTTCTGCCTCTATAACCTCTGTGGAAATTGTTTTGATTAATTGATAGATGGCGCTAGAGTCGCCTGTTAAACGCGACGTGCCTTCTGAATTCCCATAGACTCTCTACCGGCAGCTCGATAGATGGATGTTTAGATGCTTCGCACACTTTAGGAATACTTCGATTCTTATTTAAAAGATTTCAATTATCGATTGTGAAAGCATATAGATTTTGTTTGATTACCGAACCACCGAATGCTGTAATTAATGTTATGTAAATATTATACATATTAAAAGTTACATTTTAGAAGTAATTGATGTCGATTTATAGCAATCATAGAATATTTCGAAATAACCTCAGATATTTATTCTGAACATTAATACTGCAGTTCAAATTTACATACCTATTCAGTGACAAAAACGCAGGTAAATACCAATTACATGATGACACATGCGAATTCGTCTTTGCACATCACGACACAGCAGCAAGTAGAATCTCGAAACACCACCAAGTCAAGAGTTCTCAAGTGCACGCCGCGGAGTTTCTGGTCTGGTTTCACTGAGAGACAAGACTTCCGTTGAACGATCAGCCACATTTTCCATTAATATGTTTCCTTAATTTGTATATTTTCTTTAAATAATAGTTACTTAAGTTGTTCAAAATATTTATATTTCAATTGCTCATATTTTTTTTTTAAATTATATTTTTCAAAATTTTATTTCTCCTTTTAACATAAGTAATTTTTGTTTTCAAAAGCGTTGTTTTATTCTGTCACTTATAGTTCCTTCAGTTTGCAATATTCTATGTGTCTTCGTCTGATTCTAGTACACATTTTACACCAGTAACTTGCTGTCACAATATTGATTTATTATCCCAGCAACGACATTTCGTTATTGCAGTTCAAGACTTTCAGTGTCAAACCCATGGAAGGGTGGGGAAGATCTTACACTCATATACGTCTATGAAAAAACAGTCGTGATTTCGACGAAATTTGGCAATAAGTCGATGAATCTTTACTGATATTTCATAAAATGAAAAGATGCTTTATTAAACGAGCAAGCCGGTAGTAACGATAGTTTAAGCTTGTGTGACGAGTTATTAGGAATCTGCGAAGAAGAAAAGAAGAGAAAGTATAATAACTACAAGAAGAGTTACTTTGATTTTGGTTTTACTTCAGGAGAAGTGAACAAAGATGAAAGAGAACGTTGACAGATATATTGTCTGTTTAAAACGCTTGTGATCCACATGCAACTCGTACTATACGTTTCATCCTTTCTCACTCTTGTGAAGTCGTCTGCGAAGAAGGAAAAGCAAAAAAATTCGAATTATAATTTTGCCACTTACTAAAAAGTTCCGCCGATCGAAGCTCCGTAAAGACAATCTTCTTTAGGAGATTTCGAGCAGATACACTATTTTACACTAATTTTTGGGCGACAACATTGCTCTTCGTTAATCCACACATCATCTTTGACGTCACGTGGGTTGCTTCAGACTGAACTGAATGCTGTGTTTTAATTCGCTGATCCTTAGGAGTACCTTTGTTACGTAACGCCTTGTTGTTTTACAACTCCACCACCAGCCTTCTGCCGTGAGA